TAGGCATGGTGGCACATGCCTGTAGTCCCAGCTACTTGGGAGGCTGAGGCAGGAGGATCACTTGAACCTGGGAGGTTGAGGTTGCTGTGAGCTAGGCTGATACCATGGCACTCTAGCCCGGGCAACACAGTGAGACTGTATCAAAAACAACAACAAAAAAGACTCACGTGGGTACTTTTTAAGAATTGCCTTGGCCCTACCCCAGACCAATTAAACCGAACAGCCCTTGGTTGGGACCCAGGTAAAGTGTTTAAGGGTTGCAGACAACTTTAGTGTGCACTCAGGGAGGCCACTGCACCAAAGCAGGGGTCTTAACTTAAAGATACAAAAGGAGAATCTAGCATCTGGACCTGACACCTATTCAACAAACATTGAGATTTCCTCCTCCCTACCACGCACTGGGCTGGATGCTTAGGATTTGACTGTAAAAGGGGTGACAAGAATTAACACCTCCCATGACAACGAACTCTTTCAGGATTGCGGTATGTAAAAAGGAAATAGATGAGGGCACATGAGGCCTACTTTTTTAAACTTGCCAAAAATATATAAGGAACCCTCTTGCCTACTCCTCCCCACCCTCAACCACATACATACACACCCCTGGGCCAACAAAACCTGCTAAAGCTCCAGCCTGGGGGAAGGGAAGCCCCGCCTGGTATTCCCATTGTCCCAGGGCCTGCTCCCCACCCCCAGCCCTCCAGAAGTCCATCCCATTGGTGCTGATGTCTTGCAGGACATCATGACTAGAGAGAGTTTCTGGCCTGGCATGGAAAGAGCTTGGAAGTCATCGCTTGGTCCTAACAAGTAAAAAGCTGAACAGACTGAAAACCACTGTCCCCAAAATGTGAGAGGCACACAGGCAGATACAAAGAATCACGACTTACCGGAAACCTCGGTGGGAACCAGTGCCAGGGTGGGAAAATGTGAACTGTAATTATGAACTACTGGAGGCTCAGTGTGGGCAAGCCCTCCACGAAAAATCTCCAGGGGCTCTCAGTGAAAGGGGCTCCCACACTTTAACGATCTCACCTGATCTCACCTCCAGGTGCTCTACTAGATTCTCACTGTGAGGATCACAGAATAATCCCGCCCAGTCACAGCATGGGGAGGGAGAAAGTAGCCATTTTAAAGTACACCAGAACATTCTGCTCTTCAAGGGGAATGTCTTCAAGCGCCTAACTGACCTGGGGGAAGGGAAATACCCAACTCCAGCCTCCTCTAGCCATCCCAGCCCACCTAAGGGCGGGTAAGGTCCTAGCCCAGGGCACAGGCTCACTAACACTGAGACCTAATCACAGGGCTGTGGACCGCCTCCCCTCTCCCACACCTCAACACCACGGCAGTAAGCCCCTTTTGCTCAGTACATCATGTCTGGCTTTCAACAGAAAACGTAACAAGGCATAGTGAAAGGCAAAAAACACAGTTTGAAGAGAAAATCAAGCATCAGGACTAGACTCAGATGTGGCAGAGGTGTCGAAATTATCAGACCAGGAATTTAAAACAGCTATGAATAACAAGCTAAAGGCTCTAATGGAAAAAGTAGACAATATGCAAGAACAGATGAGTAATGTATGCACAGATGGAAATTCTAAGAAAAAATCAAAAAGAAATGCTACAGTTGAAAAACACTATCAGAAAATGAAGAAGTCCTCTAGTCATTAATAGACTGGACACAGCTGAGGAAAGAATCTCTAAGCTTGAGGATGTGTCAATTAGAAACTTCTAAAACTGAAAAGAAAAGAGAAAAAAGATGGGGGGAGGGGAAAGGAACAGAATATCCAAGGATTGTGAGACAATTACTAAAGGGGTATGCCAATACACCTATATGCCAATACCAGAAGGAGAAAAAGAAAGGAACAGAAGAAACAGTTGAATCAATAATGACTTGCAAATTTCCCCAAATTAATGTCAGACACCAAACCAGGGATCCAGGAAGCTCAGAGAACAAATGAAAAGCAAACAAACACAAAAAAACCCCAAAACCAAGACAAACAAAACACTATACCTAACCATATCATATTAAAACTACAGAAAATCAAACAGAAGAAAGGTGGTCCTGAGTTCTACCTGGAAAACAGGGGGAAGTGAAAATAGGAAAGTGGAGAACCCGAACCCTTACCATGTCCTGTCCTGATCGGAGCTTTCTCTCCCCAAGACACGGGCGACATCAGTCAAGGAACATGGGAGTTTCCCACAGTACTTGGCACCTAGAAGCCACGTGACAGATAATTTCCATCTAATCTCGCCTATAAATAAATAAACAACCCTCTCAACCTCTGGGACCACCCCCCTTGGCGAAGCGCAGCCTCAGTTCCAGCCGACGGCGGCCTGGGTCGAAGCCCCAGTCCCCGACGCACGGCAGAGCCGGGTAGCGCGGTGACCGGAGACCACCTCGCGGCTGTGCTGGGCCCGCCCCGGTGTCTGCGGTGCGGGCGGGAGGGCGCCTCCTGCTGGAGGATACCCGGCTGCCCTGCGCCCCGCCGCGGCGCTGGACAGGGGGCGCCACCGGGGCGAGCGGCGTCAGTCCTTCTGGCGCGCTGGAGCTCGAGTGCCTGCCCTGGCCCCCAGCGCCCCGGCCTCGCTAGCCGGCCTGAGAGCGGCGGAGGAGACGGGCGGGGCTGGTTGTGCCCCCACCTCCCGTCGCCGGGGGGACTCCTGACTGCAAACAACCGAGAAGCGCGCGGGGCTGGGGCCGCCCTGCTTCTTGCCCTGCGGCGGGGGCCTGGCTGGGCAGGAGGGGCAGGCGGCGCTGCCCGCAGGCCTGGGCTGGGGCGGCAGTGGCCAGGACAGGATCTGGGAAGGTTCCCGAATTAATGTCGGGCAACTCCTGTGTGCTCATGACAGAGTTAACACAGAAATGCTAGAGAATGACTTGAAAAATTGCTTCCTTAAATGGCATACAATTGTATGTCATAATTTTTAAAGAAACATATTGGTTTCTGAAATATATATATATGCATTTCTATGAAAAGAGTTCAAACAGTGCCAGACAGGTTAAATGCAGTTTCTCAGTTTATTCCTCTAAACCCTTGTAAGCTAAAGTTAGCCCCATTGTAAGGCAGAAAATCCTGTTGGTTTGAACTTCAAAATGTACCCAGACCCTGTTCACATCTAGCCACCTCCTTTATTTTCCCCTTGGTCAAAGGGCCATGGTGTCTCACCTGAACCACTACAAGATCCTTCCTGGGGATCCTACATGGCAGCCAGGGAGGTCCCATTAAAAGCTAGGGCAGATCACATCTCCCCTCTGTTCAAAACCCTACCTCCTCACTCTGGCATACCAGGCTTATGTAATATGATGTGGTCCGGCTTCCCTCTGGCCAGCTTTCTGCTCTCCCCTACGGAACTCACGCTTACCTTTTGCTCAGCTGTCCCCTCTGACTGGAATACTACAGTACCAGACTCCACACTCTGCCGGGCCGGACCTCTTCTCTCTTTCACCACTGTGTGTGCACCCCCACATGGTACCTGGCAACCCACGGCCTCTCAGGAAATGAATGCTGGTCTCTTGTGTAATGGAGTGATTGGAGATTTGGGTCTAGTATTTTCAAGGTGATCTTTGTAGAAGACAGAGATCAAAAGATTGTTTCCCAAGCCCCTCCAGAGTCCCTGTGATGGGCGCCCTGAAAGAAGCCAGTTCCTGCCATCGTCTCCTCACACCTCACACCCGTTTCACCCTTGGTGTCAATGATAGTCAATATGCCCCCAAAACTCCTTGATTGAACGGAGGGAGGCCTTTGTATCCTCTGTGGCTTCCCCTGTGTTACGCTTACAGGAAAACTACAAACATTCTGGCTATGTGAGATTACCATGCTTTGCGGTAATCATTTCACAATGAATAAGCATATCAAAATATACCATTGTACACCTTGAATATATACGATATTTATTTGTTAATTATACCTCAATAAAGCTGAAAATAAATAAAAATGTTTTGCCTATTTTGACATTTTACACCTTGACAATTGTATTTAAAGTACAATTCTGAGAAGGCGCAAAATTCTTTATACTGCTTGATAAGTTACATAAAAATGGAGTTTGTGTCATAGAAAGTAATTAGTAATTAGTGAGTGACAGGAAATGTGGGACTTAACCTTACGGGTAGCTATCTTACAGGTGAGTAAAGGAAAGTCCAGAGAGAGAAGGAACTGTGCCCAAGGTCACAGACTCAGGGTCCCATTTCACTGCACAAATGGGCTTTGAATGAGTTCTCACCCCTAGTTCACTTTTAACGTGTAATCCAGAAGAAAGCCTGTGCCTATCAGTCCAGGAGGAATGTGAAGGTATCTGCCATTCTTTAGATTTGCAGTAGGCTTTGGTTCCATGTAAATGGTGGCACTCAGTGGTTGGAAGATTCACTGTATTCACTGTGAAGATGATGGAGGACCTTCTGCTACCCTGACATCTTCCTTCCAAGTATAGACCTAAATAACAAAGACAGAGACTCTGTGAAAGAAAATGATGTTCTTTTGGGAATAGGCATTGCAATGGGAATATTCGCGCCATGGTACATACATATTCAGCAAGGTAAAGAAAGACAAAGGTTTTGAAAGGAAAAATCAGGAGGATTACACAATTGTTTTTAGGTAATTATCCTTGTCTACAAGGATCAATAAGAAGGGTTGCTCCAGTCTGAGGGTGGACAGGGAGTTAGGTAGATGTCCTCGGAGAAGCATTCTTCGTATAAGGTTGCGATGGCCTTTGTGCAAGGCTGTGGTTTTGCAGTCTTTTGCAACAGTTTTTGGTAACAGGCATCCCTGTATGAGAAGCCTCCCTTTGTGGATTTCCCCAGCCCTATCTGTCAGGGTTTCTAAAACAAGTGACTCCATGTTGACTCTAACAACTTTCACACAAGCGTCCCAAATGTTTGCAGATTGGACCACTCACAGCCTCACCCCAACCAGCCGGAGAGGCCTTGTGAGGGCAGAGAGAACAGTAGCATGAGGGCAGGCTGGACAGGGGACCTGCAGACCCAGAGAGGAAGCTCCAGAGGGCCTGTCCTACACCCCAGGTCTCCCCAACACCTTCCTCAGTGCCCTCGTGACCTCCCTGTTCCTCAGGCTGTAGATGAGTGGGTTGAGCATCGGCGTGAGGATGGTGTAGAAGACGGAGGTGGCCCGGTCTCCAGCTGGTGTCCTGGTCGCGGCCCGCTGCATGTGGCTAAACATGGCTCCCCCGTAGTAGAGGCCCACCACGGCCAGGTGCGAGGAGCAAGTCGTCAGAGCCTTTGCTTCCCCTCGGTGGAAGGCATCCTAATCACAGCTGTGAGGACCTGGGCATAAGACGCCACGATGACAGCCAGGGGCAGCAGCAGCATGACTACACAGCAGGCATAGATGAGGTCCTCAAAGAGTGAGGTGTCTGCACAAGAGAGGCACAGCAGGGCAGGACCTGGCAGAAGTGGTCCACCCCCAGAGAGCCGCAGAACGGGGAGCTGAAGACCACGCCCACGCCCACCACGCTGTCCGCTGCCCCACCCGCCCAGGACGCGGCGGCCAACAGAGCGCAGGCCTCCGCTCGTGAGCGCGGGGTACCGCAGCGGGTGGCGGACGCCGCCTACCGGTCGTAGGCCATGACGGCCAGGAGGAAGCACCCGGCCCCTCCTACCGTGACCACCGGGAATATCTGGGCCGCGCAGCCTCCCCGGGAGATGAGCTCACTGCCCGGGAGAAAGGTGGCGGCCGCCTTGGGCAGCACGGTACACACCACGGCCAGGTCCAGGATGGACAGCTGGCTAAGGAAGAAGTACACAGGCGTGTGCAGGCGCCTGTCAGCCCAGGGGAGCAGCAGGAGGAGGGTGTTGCTGGCCACCGCGGCCACGGAGGCCAGAAGGATCAGGGAAAAGAGGAAGAAGTCACGTGGAGAGCGGCTGAACAGGCCAGAAAGGACGAAGTCCGGCGGGGAGGTGCAGTTCCAGAGCTCCGTGCCCTGACCTTGAGAAACAAACAAAAGAGCAAACAAACAAAATGTTCGCCTGGCATCTCCATCACTCAAGGAAATAAATCTGTTTCTTTTATTTTTTAATTTCAAAATATCAAGAGGGGCCGGTCGGGCGCGGTGGCTCACGCCTGTAATCCTAGCTCTCTGGGAGGCCGAGGCTGGTGGATCGTTTGAGCTCAGGGGTTCCAGACCAGCCTGAGCAAGAGTGAGACCCCATCTCTACTAAAAATAGAAAGAAATTAGCTGGTTGTGGTGGCTTGCCTGTGTCCCAGCTACTCAGGAGGCTGAGGCAGGAGGATCACTTGAGCCCAGGAGTTTGCGGTTGCTGTGAGGTAGGCTGATGCCAGGTGACTCTAGCCTGGATGACAGAACGAGACTCTGTCTCAAAAAGAAAAAAAAATAAATATATATAAATATATATATAATATATATTAAGAGGGTACAAATGTTTTTGGCTACATGGATCCCTTTTGTAATGCTTTAGTTCTGGCTATAGGTGTTCCCATCACCCAAATAGTGTTCACTGTACCCATTAGGTAGGTTTTTGCCCCCTCCCTGCACCCTTCCCCTTGCTTGCCTGATAAACCTGTTTCTTCTCAAGGGCAGAGCCCACCCTCTGACACAGGCCCTTCCTTTCCTCAGCAGTGAAAACCCATTTCCTCTCAGCCGCCCTCAGGGATTACCAGCCAAGATTTGATGCTTATTTCTCTTGAAGAGGAGGAAACAGGCGCAGAGGCACAAGGAGAGTGCAAGAAAGAACAGGGTGACGAGTAGTGGGCAGGTGACTAGCTATAGATTAAGGAAAAAGGGACATAGATTTCAGAGGGCAGGAAAGTGAAGTATTGGAGGACAAGTGAGATGAGGAGGGTGGCAAGTGCACCCGCAAATACAAATCAAAAGAGGCTTAATCCTCCTTGTTAGAAATAAGGCAAGAGACTCCTCCCTGCCCCTTATCTAAGATATTTTCTTTAGCAAATTTATAAGTTCTTTCTCTCTGAAATATATGTAAATATTTTTAAAGATTTTAAAAGCTAAATAAGTTTCTTGCCAGCTTTCTGATCCCAGGAAGATCTTCCTCAAGGACCTGAGAGCAAGATGTCTTTGAAATGAAATCATCAAGGAAGATAGCACCCTTCTCCCCCAGTGTCTGGGGGAGGCTAGGAACCTCAGACCAGGGGCAACTCCCTGGTAGCTGCAAAACTACCTTCTGTTTAAAGATGTGAGAAGTTTATTTTCTCTTTGGATAAAGACAATTAACTAACAGATCTCCAGATGATCACTGCAATTACCAAGCAAATTTAGGATGAACTATGCATGACAAACGGTGCTGGCAAATCCTCTTACTTGAGAACTAGTAACCATTTATCTTGAGAACATATATGTAACGGGTTGCATCTGCTTATCCATATAAAAGGGTGAAATTTCTTTCTGTCTGCAATTTCTTAGCAGATTGCTAAGAATCCGCTGTGATGTGCATCACATTCTGGTTTAATGCTTATTCAATAACAAAACTATTTTCTTTCTCATCTACATTTTTGGAGAGGTTTTCTGGGTTGGAGGAGATTTTGTTTTAGTTCTATTTCCGCAACAGAGAGAGGCACTGCAAGAAAGTGCAATGTCAACACCAAATGCATCACCAGAACCTCAGAACCTCTGAAGTACCTCTTGGACATGTCCCAGCCATTCACCCCACTCTGCTACCTGAACTACGGGGAATTATGAGGACAGGGACTGGGGATAAAAGAAATTAGAAATATTTTACCCCAAAATATATTCTTTGACGTAATTTCAGATGGCTCATGAGTCTCACAGATAGAAGTTACAATGCAGAGCTGTCTTGGGGGGTAGGGCAGTGAATTTGCATCTGTAAAGAATGTCCATTAAAGCAGCCAGGTCTATCCTAACCTGTTCTAGGAAAGATCAACCGAGAGTCTGATACCTTTAGAGGTCTGAAAAGAAACATTTACCATCTATTCTCTCTGAGGGCTGCTACCCATAAAGTAACAAGACCACCTTTGCTAAGTCTCTTCCTCTCTCCCTCCCAAAACCTGTTTCTTTGCTTTCAGGCCCTCATTCTTTAGAAACCTCTGTACCTCATTGAAGAGTTGAATCTTCATTCTGAGGGTTCCCATGTATACATATTAAAGTAAATTTGTCTCTTCTTCCTCCTATTAATCAATCTGCCTCATGTCAGTGATTTTTCAGTGAAGCTGAGGGGCACAAGAATTTTTGCTCCCTACAGGGACACGCCTGTCTTACAGTCACCGTTACATAGTGCCTAACCTAGGTGGGCACCCAAGTGGTTAGAAACAGTGCATGTTCTAAGACACATTCACTGAATTTACAAAGGAAGGAATGATCCAGTACTTACTCCACAAATGGTGGGTCTCCAAGGTGCTTTGTTGAAATATGTACTTTGTGTTTTCTGTGATGTCACAGAAAGAATTCAAAAATGTCACCTATGATGTTTGTCAAAGTGTACATAGTTTCAGTTAGGAGGAATAAGTTTTTGTGATCTATCATACAGCATGGTATTGTATATTTCAAAATCTCTAAAAGTGTAGATTTTAAATTTCTCATCACAAAAAATGGTAAGTATGTGAGTTGGTAGGTATGTTAATTACCTTGATTTAACCAACCTGCAATGTATACACATATCATAACATCATATTGAACCCCATAAACATATACAATTATAATTTGTCAATTAAAAATAAAATAAAATTTAATTAAATTTCAAAAAGAATGTCTCCTAATAGATGCTGGAAAGTATAAGGCTGGTGGCGGGCACCCCTCCCCTCCCTAAAGAAAAAAAGAGAAGCCCATGAGTCCCGCCCTAAAAACTGTAACAAAGAACTCTCCACTTTGCGTGCCAAAACTTCACTGAAGAAAAACCCCCATCCCCCAACTCTAAAACCTTTATAAGTCCACTCAACACTTCCGGCGCATGACTTCTCGGGCCCTCTCTCTCGGGACCGTGAACCTCACCTGGGAGCACCCTCTTTCCCCCTCCCCCAATAAAGCCTCGTTGCTTGCCCTTTTCACTCTGCTCATCTTTCTTTCTCTGGCGCAGACCATCCAAAAACCTTACAGAAAGACTGTCAAAGAGAGGCAAAGACTATGGAAACCATCATGGTAGGAGGATATTTATAAACAGAAAGAAAAAACAAGCATGAAATATCTGGGATTCTACATTCATGACTGGGGTTTCCATCATGCTTCTGTCTCTGGGACAACTGGGAAGATGTTTAAAAAATGCAAATACCTGAAAAATACCTATGGGGTACAATGTTCACTACTTGGGTGATGGGTACACCAAAAGCCCAGATTTCACCACTGTATAATGTGTGCATGTAATAGAATTCAACTTGTACCCCCCAAATCTATTAAAATTTTTTTAAATGCAGATACCTTGGTCTTACCCCCCTGGGGTTCACTGGGTCTGGATGGGGACTTGTCATATACAGTTTTTAAAAAGCTCCCCAGGTGATTCTGATGAGGAAATAGGTTCACACACATTGGTTCAGAGCAACCTGTGTGCATAATTCCATTCTCATCTTGGTAGCATGAGGAAGCAAGCTGTCTACAGTCAGAAGACTACGGAAGCATGAAGAGAAAAGCCTGGGACATAGTGAGACCCAGAGACATGCCACTAAAGGAGCTAGAGCACAGTGCTAGGAGGGGGATTCCATGATCAGCACTGGCCAAGGCATGGAGCACGAGACTACAGACACCAAAGCAAGGTGGGCGCACGTGTGCAAAGGACTCAGCAGGTCTGTCTGCCGACTTTGGAATTCTGTCCAGAGCCTGGAGAACGGATGAACAGTAATAGCAATTTTTCCCTAGAAAACTAAGATTACCAGTGAAGGAAATTAGAAATATTTTACCCCAAAATATGTCATTTTGACATACTGAACTGACTGAAGAAGCCTCAAGGTCTCTCTGACCTCTCTGCCCACAATCAGCACTCCTCCCAAAAAGCTAAAGTGTCTTTATCTTCTTAAAATACAGACCCACCTAGAGAACAATTGTACTTTTCTTTCCCTCCCTGTAAAACCAGGAATGTGATCACACATGGAAAGACTTTAAGAAGATAATGTCCCGTCTTTTAAACTCATTCAAATTCCAAAGAAAATTATTTACCGGTTAATCTCTGTACCCCATCCATTCATCCTCCCTAGTACCACTTTATTGTCCCCCAACAGAATTCCTCGTTCCCCTTCCCTTCTTTCCCTTTATTTTACCAGAAAGGCATATAAGCTTGTGAACCTCATTGGGAAGTTGAATCTTTATTCTGAGGGTTCCCATGTGTACATTAAATAAATTTGTGTCGTTTTCCTTCTGTCCATCATCAGTATGCCTCAGGTCAGTGATTTTTCAGCAGACCTTAAGGGGCAAGAGGCTTTGCTCTCTATGCTGGCTTCCTGGTTTCCAATACTGACAACAGTTGTCACTTGGCAGCAAGGAGATGTCTTTGTGTCCAGGCCGACTCTTTCCAGAAAGCCTGAAGCGGAAGCCTGAAGTCAGACCAACTCCTCCCAATTCCTGATCCCCTTCAGTCCTTCATCTGTCAGGTCCTCCCTCACCCCTCAGCACTTAACACCCCCCTGCCACTCCCCAAAATTCACCTACCATTCCACCCTGTGAGTCCAGCACTTAGGGCAAGGCTTGAGCAAGGGGCGGCCTGGGAGAGGCTCCTTACACACGCCACCCCCTGCCCCAGAGCTCCAAATATGAATTTATGGATGCAACCATCAAGACAGTCTTCTGTTTCTTACGGAATTGACGATGAGCTCAGGTCCCAGGTTTATGCCTCTAGTTACAGAGCAGATGTCTTGGGACACCCAGTTCAGCTCGTAATGAGCCCAGGGAATAGACAGAAGCTCCACAGCAAGAAGAAAGCCAAAATTAATGATTGGCTTCAGGACAAAGTTCCTTCCCCATAGCCCTGGCTCTGAAAAATACTCCAGATTCCCAGCTAAATGAAGGAAAG